GAAAAAGAAGATTGATTCTTAATTAAAAGTTAGGAGATGTAAAAAGCTGGTGAGTACTCTGGCTTATTCTAAAAATAGGAGAGAATTTACTTGTTTGCCTATTTTTTTTCCAGAAGCCAAGCCATACGTGTAGAGGAAAGGCTACACAGATTTCAGAGATTTAATTTTCCACAAGCACAGGCCATAAATTAAAATACAGCAATCCAATCCCATTAATAGTGCAAGAAAAAGCTAAGTGGCTGCTTTGGTCTTTGCTTTCATGAACTTGTGTCAAGCTCAGTGACTTCAAAGAGATTTCCATTTCATTTCTGCAAATGAAGAGAACAGACAGACAGAGAGTCTCTGCCATCCTCTGATGCCTTAAGAAAACAGAAGAAAAACATGCCTGTATCTCATTCGCCTAATGATTTTAGCTGCAAAAGGAATCCCATGGTCGGCAGACGACCCTCAGGGCAAGGGCTTGAGGTCTGTCACAGTATATAAGGCTTCTCCAAACCCACTCCATTATCTTCATTATTGTATACCAGGAATAAAAGGGGACTGACTCCTCTTCTGAAGTTCAAGTTAGAAAGGACAGAATGTTTCATGTAAAATAACATTGTGTGACTTCAGTAATAGGTTTATGCCTTTGGGGGCCTAATACTAAAGCTGTATATAAGGATTTTCTGCAGAATTTGAGAGAAGAAAAATGAGCACTGTATTAGCAATGAGTAAAATTCCACAAGTTTTAGATTCACTGAAACACTCTGTTTCTGTGTCAGCATGACTCACTGTCAGTCACATACTTTCATACAGCAAGAGTAAAATGGCAAGTTTAGAGGGGAAAAAAAAAGAGCACGGCGCTTTAGAGGTAAGTATAAACCCCTATGAAAACCAAAACCATACACATATGCAAGGAGGAAAAGAGTGACAAGCTTTTGGAAACTTCTCAGGAATGAGCAGGTAGCATGGCTTCCTACAGGGGACATTAACCAAAGGCATACATACAACAAATCAACATGGAAACCATTTATATGAACAGTGACGCTTCCCTTGTCAGCACGTGTGGGTACATGTATGTGCTTACATATATGCATACATACATGCGTGCATTCGTGCACTCTGAGCAGTATGTTTCGTAACACTGTAAAAATCTTTGTCCTTTACTGACAAAATTTGCAAAGTATTAACTCTTACTTTCTAACAAACATAATTTAAGAAAACCATTTACCTTATATCGATAAAGTTTCTTAAAAACAGTCAGACCTGTTATCAATATTTTGGAATATCTCACTTGTCCTCAAAAACCATTTAAGAAAAGAGAAGTCCTTTCCCTGACTGATATGAGGTTTGGATCAAGACCTAAAGTTGTCTACCCAGCCCTTGTCTTTTTTCTGGTTTTGAAGAAACAGGCCATTTGAAAGAATGCTTCAAAAGCACATTTCCCACAGTAATTCAGAAGACAATTTCAAACAATAAAACCAGAGCAAACACAGCCCATTGTACAAGTTAAATAATATATAAACTTTTGAGTACATAGAGAAATAGGAATATGGCTCATATCTGGTCTTCGAAAGATTCAGAGGAAATTGATCTAATTAAACCTCAGCTACTGGTGCAAATGTTTCCCTTTCTTCCCAAAGAGAATTAAAGTATTATATTATTGTTTTGACATAATGCAGCAAAGCTTAACCAAGATTCTTGGTCTTCTCCTACAAAGCTCCACAAACTAGCAAGACTAAAAATTATTACTGAAATACACAGTGATCATGCATTGTTGAACTGTTACCTACATGTACTACCAAAGATTCCCACTTGTAACTTTTCTTATTCATGGGGAAATTAATTTGACCTGGATAGGCTGGAAGAGGGGGCTAACAAGAACCTTATGAAGTTCAACAAGGACAAGTGTAAGGTCTTGCACCTGGGAAAACATAATCCAGGAGTCCAGCACAGGCTGGGATCTACCTAGCTGGGGAGCAGCTCTGTGTAAAAGGACCTGGGACAAGGTCCTGTCTTGGTGGACAAGAAGCTCAATATGAGTGAACAGTGTCCTGCTGTGGCAAAGAAAGCCAACAGGATGCTGGGTTGCATCAACAAGGACATCACCAGCAGAGATAAAGAAGTCATTATCCCAAGGCCACACCTGGAATACTGTGTTCAGTTTTAGTCCCTGCTATGCAAAAATGATGCGGACAGGCTGGAGAGGGTCCAGAGAAGGGCCACAAAGATGATCAAAGGGCTGGGAAGCCTGCCTTATGAGGAAAGGCTGAGAGAACTGCGTTTGCTCAGCCTTGAGAAATGAAGGCTTAAGGGAGACCTTATCACCATGTTCCATGTGGCTACAAAGAAGATGGAAACTCCCTTCTTACAAGGAGTCACATGGAGAAGACTACGGGTAATGGCTACAAGTTACTCCTGGGGAGATTTCGATTGGACACAAGAGGAAAATTTTTCGCAATGAGAACAATCAGCCATTGGAATAATCTCTCCAGGGAAGTGGTGGATTCCCCAACATTGGACACTTTTAAGGTTTAGCTGGACAGGGTGCTGGGCCATCTTGTCTAGACTGTGCTTTTGCCAAGAAAGGTTGGACCAGATGATCCTTGACGTCCCTTCCAACCTCATATCATAGAATCATAGAATAGAATAGTTTGGGTTGGAAGGGACCTCTGAAGGTCATCTAGTTCAACGCCCCTGCCGTGGGCAGGGACATCTTCAACCAGATCAGGTTGCTCAGAGCCCCGTCCAACCTGACCTTGAACGTTTCCAGGGATGGGACATCCACCACCTCTCTGGGCAACCTGTGCCAGTGTTTCACCACCCTCAGCGTAAAAAAATATATGCTAATTACATGACTAGCAACCAGTGATGACTGACAACTTTACCACTACATGAAGAAGACATGACAATAAGTAGATTTTCTGCTGGAGTTCAAACAGAGAAGACATTGTGCTTGCAGTAGTACATACTTCTTTTAGGGAAACAGATTCATATTTGTGGAGGATCTCTAAGAACAGTCTTGCCACCTGCACCCAGAAATATATATTTTTTAATTAGCCACTCTAAAAACAATCATGTTGGCTGAAGGGAAGGGGGAGGGAGACTTGTCAAAATGATGTATTTGTCCTTCACCACCTTTCAATGCTCTTATGCAAGTCTAATTTTCTTCCTAGCCAGCTCACCTCTCTGGCCTCCTTTTGTTTCATGTCCCATTTCCCATTCTCTTCTAACTTCTGAACTTTTGTTAGTTCGCTTTTAAGGAGAAAGGGGAAAAAAAACCCCTTTCCTATTCATTTTTTCCTGGATGGGGAGTAAGCAGAGACATGAATATGGCACCCTCATAATGATTTAACGAGGGCTTAATGAAATTTTCATCACAACCTGCTGTTCATTTTAATGGCCTTTGAAAGACAATAGAACAATGGCTAGAGGGAAGAAAAGATTTTCTGTTGCATGCATTTGCAAAGCCCAACATTCGCTTGCTCCCCCTCCTCTCTCTCCCAATCTCTTCACAAAGCTGTAGATCTTTTGTTTGTACTGTATATTTTCATTTTAGTAGAGCTGAGATAATGCACAGGCTCTGTAACCATTCTCATGTCTATCTGTGGCCTTTCCTTAATGGAGTCTGTGCAGTTTGTACAACCTCATACTCAACAGAGTATTTATACATTGCCCAGAACCCCCTGTTCTTTCCTTTCTCTTACATAAAAGTCTGGTCTGCTTCCCCCCCACCCCATACCATACACAGGAAAGATCTTTTCCATTCAAAGGCACAAGGTAGGTCATGGCACTGACCATTAAGGCAACGTAAATGCAGAATGAAATGCTATGATTATACGTAACATTCCAAAAAATGCTTAGACAAAGAATTTGTTTCCCAGCAGACCCTTACTGTGTGCTCCAGTCCAGAAAAGAAGACTAATTTACAATCCTGTCATGCTCATGTATGTGACAGTGCGACTGTGTTTGCATCCGTATTTTCATTCCAGTATGCAGGTCGTCCTAAAATTTTCTTGTACGTGCTATCAATTCATGCTTCAACACTGAGGTGGGCTCTGAGGGCCATGCTTTTAAACATTTGAAATAGATTTCTACAACAGGATAGGGGGGTGTAAATGAAAATGAAGTCTTATTACTGCGCATTAGGGAATAAGGCTCAGTTCACACATCAACTGGCTCACAGTCCCCTGGAAATCTAGCTGTAAATATGCATGCTGGATACCTATGGAGAACATAGTGAGAACCTCACCTTCCAGTCAGGGGTTTAACTCTGCCCCAAATAGGCAGGAATTGAAAATTACTTAAAGGAAAGCTGTTCTGTGGCTTCTCAGAGGCGAGATGTTTGGTCTTAGTCTCAGCCCACAGAGCAGAAGTGGCATTGTCACTGACTGGACAGACAGTCTCAAAAGAAACTGATTCTCGAGAGATGACACCTATATGCCAAGGTTGAAACTTGCTGGCCAGATATAATGCAGAGAAAGCCTGTACTGTATCTGTTTGTATAGTACCTGCACTACAGATAAATAGAGGATGACATGATAGGACATGCTCCAGACAAAAGCTTTCATGAATTCCAAATTTAACTTCTTACCTTTCAAATAATGACATGCCTACTAAATAATTTCACAAAAAAATTGACATTGCTGATAACACTGCTTTTTGCTCTAGAAATGGGGGAGGGGGGAGCAGTGGTGTAAATGACCCCCAGGCTGTTAAAATTACAGTGTTCATTGTACCCATGTTGAGGAGGATTGCTGTGTCTATTGCAACTGTGACAAAAAGACCGTTATGTCAGACAAAGGCTCTCATTTGGGAAAAGCTAAAAATGTTAGCTGTAATAGGATATTGCTGAAATTTATCTCTAATGTAGACAAGAACTAGGAGCTCTTTACTTCGATTTTGCTAGCAAGAAAAAGCAAATGGAGCACAAAATGGGAAGATTAAAAAGTATACGTATCCAAAGAATCTGGAGAAAAGAAAAGAAAACAGAAAATTTTGGCCAGTTTCCCAGGCCTTACCTTCTGGCTCATTTTTGATGAGCTCTTCCATTTTTCTTTGCTTAAGGGTGTCTACAACATCCGCTAGGCTCCCTTTGCGCCTTTCAGGGGTTCCCAGAGCTGTGCTGGACAATGATTCTCCACTCTGACGCCCACCTTCTTCTGCCTTCAAGGGTGAGGTAGATGAGTTGTGCGGGGCAAATGAAGACATCACTTTATTGCCATCAACTTCCTGAAAGGGGAGAAAAATGAGATGAAACATTTCTTTTCTTAAAGAAGAAAAAAATAAAGATGGAAAGAAAGAACAATCCTTTGTTCTTTGAGTTCATTGCTGTTTGTACTTCTGTTGAAACCTTTAAAAAGGCATGCAATGCTTCAAAAACACCCAGAACAAAGCCTATCCGTAAAGCATAAACCAAGATTACAGGCTGAAGTGAACAAAGATCAGCTTGCAAGAGAGAAACATAAAATACAGTTTTTCCCTAATTGAGAAGAAGTGTTGTACTCATAGGTTTCCTAATAACAATGGTATTGATTACCTTTAAATGTTTGTTCTTTTACAGCTTTCTTTTGAAAAAATCTTCAATTTTTATTTTTACAAGGACCATTAATTTCCTGACTTTATAAAGTACTTAATGCCGTGATGGCAAGTTGTTGTAAGAAATTAAATAGTAACCAAATATTAAATACCCTTTGCCACATGACTTATCTTAACTAACAGTTCAAGTAGTTCTCCCATCTATAAGGGATGAAGCAATTGTTTCCTGTTTTCTAATTCTCTTTCTATTCTCCTCTTCCATCTCATACCTTCATTTCTTGTAGAGACAATATTTTTCACAAAGGTGGTCCTAATGACTTTCACTGGTGGCACAATGGCAAAACTCTGTGACTTCCTGGAACATACACACAGTCCTCCTCAAGTGAGAGTCCATAGAGGTCTACTCATTAATTTTAATGGAAACCAAAACCGGTTCCAGCATCTTCAAAACTTGCCTTCATTAATGTCAGAGCCTTCTCCTCCACGCCTCCTCCAACATAAAGCAATGTTCTCTGCATATATTCCTCTCCCCTTTTATACACACCTCTGAAAGCCTCTTTTTCCTCTGCTAACATATGCCATCTATACCTTGCAAAACTTAGGTCAATGTCTCCGAACACAGCCTGCTGCAGAGTACATATACTGCATAATATAACGCTGCTAACATGAACAGTTTTTATTTTGATCAGATTCTCCAGAGCTTTTTTTCTTTTTCATTATCCTATTTCCTTACATTTTTGTATTCCAGATGTTTAATGAATATTATTTCTAAAAAAGTCACTGAACCATCTTGTGATCTGAGTTACAGATTTGGTCGAAAAAATCCTAATAATTTTTAACTTGTTTTCATTTTATAGGGTATTACAGCGACACATATACTGTTTTTAGTGATTTGTGTTATAATTTTATCTTTTTTTTCCTGAGTAATTTTTGGTGTCTCTGGTTTAATAAACCCCAATATTTCAGAAAAAAAATGTGTCTTTTCATAAATAGAACATAAATTGCTAAAAGTGATCTCAACAGAGTTTGAATAAAGCAACACGGAAGATATGAAGTAAAGAATGTATTTGTTTTCACAGACTACTTCATTTTGGCAAAAAGATTACCTTTGGTTAAGAAAACTTTTAGTGCAAACAGTTTTGAGCAGCTTGAACGTGTTATACTAGTGAATAAATTCCCTAACAGAATGGGATTTAACTGAGATTACAATCTGGGCCATCGTATGCCCCAAAAGCCAAACCCAGTGATGTTAATGAGAGACTTTCTACTGACGTCAATGAGCTTTTGACCAAGCCCTAAAAAATTTTCCAACTCTAGTCAACAGAAATGCTCCTTTTTTTTTCTTGCAACTCCCTCCATTTTTGTTCTCCGCTTGGAAAATTACTATTTGCTAACACTGGACTTAAAAAATGAGTTGGAGCCAAATGTAATTTTTTTCACAAATACAGACCTGAATAAACTGTTTTTTAACACTAATCTAGACGAGCAAAATAGTTAACTTCATCATCAGTTCAGATTTTATCTGACATTCAAATGTATTATCACCAAGTGGTAATTTTTTTCCTACAAACAAGGTCAAAAGAGGAGATATCTTGAAAATTGCTTTCTTATTCACACTTTGAAGACAGATAAGCCAAATATCATCCTTGGTTACAGTTCTTAAATCCACCTAGACCATCAATTATGCATAGGAACAATATCTTTCCTAATTTTACCAGGAACTAGTTTCTTGTTTTTATTCCAAAGTGGGCCCCAAAGACACTCACTTGTGTTTCTGTGTATGTCACACATTGGTCACAGACACAGAGTACTTGCAACAGCTGCCTAAACCTCAGGAATCATCATTGCTGCTTCCATGTACATTTTGGGTAGAGGCAAGTGTTTTTATATATATAAATATATTCTGAGTATACAAGTTTGTTATAAGAGAAGAAGCATAAGAACACAAGATTGAATGATATGTAAGGTAATAACAAGGTGATTTTCAAAATCACAAATTGCTTGGTGTTCAAATGGAACCCACAACTATTTTCAAAACTATTACAATTTCCCTGCCCCTTTTTCTGGGGAAAGGAAGTGTGTGTGAGGGGGAGAGGACAAGAGAGTAGTTTGTGGGTAAAGCATCATGAAAGGACTCTGGATACTCAATTTGGATTCAATCCAGATACTCAATCTGGATTCTTTGTTCTTTTACATGTTCTGCATAACCATAGAAAAAGTCACCTTTGTTTCTGCATTTCTGTTTCCTACCTGTAAAATAGGCACAAAAGAAGTAATTTCTTATATTGGAGAGGTCTTGGAATGATAAACTCATTAATAACACAGAGACACCCTGATACTACAATGTTGGCTGAAAGCATTTATATGGTACCACAGTTAAGACGACTTCATAGCCAGACAAAAGGAAAGGGAAGTGTTCTACACAGATTTTTTTTTTGAGAGATGAATTATATATTAAAATATACATCTAAGTAATCATCCCCAAAACAAAATGTTTCCTTAGACTGCTCTTGTTATGTGTGCATGTATGCAGTGTTTGCATATCACATACATGGGCTATTTATACACTTGTGGGGTTTAAGATACGCTCCACTTAATCAAAACACATATACAGTAGGGGAACAGCTGCAATCACATCTCAGTGGGCTAAATTACAGTACACCAGTGAATTATTCATTCAAAAAGATCTGTAGCAATCACACATCCATTGCGTGATTTGCAATCTAAGAGGAATCCTCTCCTTTCCATACCAGCGGATGAGCGCACACATCAGCTACTGCTGTTGATGAGAGTTCTACATACATCCTCTAGCGCACCAGCTCGAGAATCTGCCTTCCACGTTTGTCCGTGATCTTTTTATTCTGTCATTCAGAACAACAACCTGAAATGCTCAACTGTTATCTTGGCTTTCGCTTTACATCCCTCTGTTTTATTTTGCTCTTTCTTTTGTCATTACTGGGGAAAGTGAAAAAGAACTTTCAATGGTTCTGGATTTTTACTCTAACCATGTAAAAAGAAAGGATACTTCCACATAAAACCTACTCATGTCAATGGTTGTATAGAGCTAAAAAACTTTTAGCAAAGAAACTCCTCTGATACTATGTACGAGAGTTTAACTATTCCCCTGAAAACACCCAGAGAAATCCTTAATGGCAAGAAAGATATGTCAGCAACAGTTTAAAACTAATCCCCTGAGAAGGAAGTTCCCTCCCAACGAGTGAGATTTAGCAGGTTCCTTTTTTGAAAGGACAAATTCACATGACTTTTTTTAGTTAACTGAGAGAAAAGCAACAACACTGAAGCATGGTATTAAAGAACCTAAATATCTACTACTGACTTTTTAAAATGAAGTCCATCAAGCCACACGTAAGACCTATCCCTCAGTCATCAAAACAGTAGAAAAAGAGACACTCTTTTACCGGAGAACAGTCTCTCTCAGCTGCATAACCATTTCACCTGTTCAAGTTTGATTACATTCCAGCCTCTGGCACTGTTAATCCTGGTAACAGTTTTATGCAGTTAGCAGCTGCGTCATGGATGGGGCTCTATTGTTCGTTTGCACTGCGAATTGCTCTGCTAATGTGTGCTGGCACAACATTCCATCGAACTCTGAGCTGGGATTGTACTCACCAACACCTGATGCTGCTGCTTCTTGCTTTTCCCACTTCGGAAAGGCAGACAAGGACCTACAGAGATCCTGCTGAATCAAACACCCTAGGCCCTTCTTTCCCCCACAACAACAGCAACAAAAAAAGGACTGGCCCACGTTTTGCGTCTTCTGCTTCTGTTCCAAGCTAGAATCCACAAGTAGATTTGTTCACTTACAAGAAAGTTGCCTCTATATTGCCAAACAGCTTTCCACCTATGGAGGAAATACCTCTTCCAAGGTTTAATGATAAAACAGGCTTCTGCCCTTTCAGGATGAGGTCAATAATCTTCCTTTGTTAATCTTGGGCAAGCTTTACTTAATCTAGCCCCCTTGTCACCTTTGTGATTGACAGGAAAAGTCATGTCACTGGACAATGGACTTATCCTCACTGAGCAATATCTTTTTTAAAGATTACACAATGTTACCCTTGCTCTCATAAAAAGCGCAAACATTTTGCTGTTAAAAGAAACTATTCATTCCAACTGTATCTTTCAAATTGTCTCTCTCCACTTCCAGGGTCCAACCGAGGCCTATTTCAGTTCTACAGAGGGACAGTGAAACACTTAATGAAAAGAAACAGGTTGTACTTGGTGAGATTTCCAAAACATCTCTTAGTGCTCTAAATAGATCTCATCTTCTCCTTCTTCATCTAAAGATGCACATTATTCCTATCTGCAGTTAAACTCAGACAGAAAACTGTTTCTGTGACATTAAAATTTTGTCCCAAACCAACCAATAATCGAAGCAGAAGAAAACTCAGAACTAAGTCGAAACTGTTAATTACCACCATATGGTATGCAAGGAGGCTGCATCTGCAGCACAATAAATTACTATGAGAATCAAGCTTCTGGCTTTGCAGCCAAAAACACCTGTAATAAAATACTTGTGTCTTTAAAACAAGCACTGATACTGTCTGATTTTAAGAAGCCTGTGATCCTAAAAGCAACCCAACAGGTTCTTTTGTCAAAGCTGGAATTTTGCCCATACTTTGCTCTTTTAGAATGTGTAAAGAATATACGAAAGCAAATTTTTTGCTCTACTTTCT